CAGTGGGCGCGGGGGGGCCCGAGCCCCCCCCGCCCCCGCCGCAGGACTGAGGTTCCCAAGTGCCCACTGCAGTCCTGTCTGCATCTCTGCATGGTCAGAGCCATGGCCCCCACCAACAGGCAGCCTCACAGCCGAGTAGACAAAGGAAAACCATTTCGGCACGACAGCCCTGGGACGAGCCCCAGGGTCTCCCGCCCATCTCCCCAGCAGCTCTGAAGCCTGGACGTTCAATGCCCAGCCGGCTCGCCTCTCTCAGGCGGTGCGCATGAGGCAGGCACCATTCACCGCCGGAACTCGGGGTAAAGGGGAGGGGAGCCAGCTGTATGTTTCGGGGTCCATCTTTTATCATGAAGAGGGGCAAGCTGACAAGATGCGGCACCACGTCACAGGACAGGCCTGGGCAAAGCCCCTGCGGCCTGAAGAACACCAGGGGACCTGCAGACTGCGGCCTGGCAGAGGACAGGGGACCTTGGGGATGCTTCAGAAGGCCCGTGTGCTTTCCCCTCCGGGGCCGGGCAGTCCGGACGCGCCCAGGGTCGGTCACCATCCTGACACACGGTAACAGCTCTCCCGGGGAGTTCTCACAGCAAGCGACAGAGCGAGGAGGCGCACAATTACCAAGATGGTGGTGACGACGACCGTCTTGTTCTCCAGCCCGGAGGTGTCATTTCCAGAAGGGAGCTCGGTCAGGGTCACAACCATTTTGTCCACTTCGCTCCAGTACCCGATCTGGAAGACATCGAAGACCTTTCTACTAGCCAAGACCTGTGGTCAAGTCCACACGGGACTCCGAAGTCACACCGCATGGCCTGGGCGTCTGAGCAGAGACGGTCTCCCTGTGTGTGAGACCCTGATAGGGCAGAGAGGACTATCTCCCCCAACTACCCTGACATTGTCCTGTTGGGGCCAGCCTGAGGATGGGGACAAGGCGGCGGATCCCCATGGCCGACTGCAGCAGCTCCAGACGCTCGCTAGGGTGGGTATGAGCCCAAAATAGGCAAGAAGGAGAGGG